AGTTACGAAAAGTAAAATTTTTCGCAACCGGTGATCAAATAGTTATTTGTGCAACCAGTTGGGAAAAGCATTATTTTTCGTAACGAACTGATTTCTGCGGAACGAGCGAAGCGAGTTCCGCAAAAGGAAGAGAGTTACGAAAAATAGTGTTTCCCAACGTGTTTCACACAATATTTTTTCTGATTTTGACCATGTGATCCTGTTTAATCCAAGTTAAAAATATAAAAAACGTACTTCCAATAATTATGTCTAATTGTCAAGCGTCAAGTGAGTTCAGAGATGTTTATTTGTTAAGTATTTCGTTTTTCGTTGCTACAGAAGCAATAGTGTCAAGCATAGAGGTGTCAAGTCTGCGTTTCTAATTTTTGAAAAAGTAAAAAATTTTAATTAATATTATTCTTATATAAACCACTCAAACTTCACGGAAAGAAATTTTGGATACTATTAATCCAGTAGGGTAGTATTACAATCAAATTTTTGATCAATATAGCGTCAATCGAAATTTAGATTAATATCGATAAATGATTGGATTGATTTACTTGTTAAGCTAAAATCTGCTAAAATATATCAAACCATGATAAGTAGCAGCAAATGAGTTCCAATAAATAACAATCAAAATTTGATTATTATTAGCAAAAATAAAATTAAATTTGTCTAGGATATTCCTGAATATAATTTATATATTCTTAAATTTAGCTAAGTGTTGAATAGTATCAAGCAATTTTTGGATCAGTTCAAGTTGATTGTAGATAATATTTGCTAAATATATGATTGATTTTAGAAAAATATATGACGAAAGATAGCAAATTGACAAATAATTAGGATAAAATTTATCAAATAATTTGATTACCTACTTCTTGCAATATTTTGATGTTATATATCTAATAATTGAGTGCAACTTATCAAATCTTTTGATTATGTGCATTCAATATTTGATTGCTGGCCAATTGATTTTCGTAATTAGCGGTGGTGGTGGGAAAATAGTAACAATAAAATGAGATTTCGGTTTAATTATTATTTATTCTGCATTCGTTTACAATGTTGAATACTACATTATTATTATGTCCTATTAACTTAACCTAAATAACCTTCTCAAAAGGAATACAATTTATACCTTATAGTTTATAGATAATAAGAAAATAATAACAGCCGGTATGCAACATCCTCTTTCAACTTTAAAAGCGACTTTGAAAGTCAATTGCTTAAGAATAATTTTTTTTAAAAGTGACAAAATAGGCTAAAAGTGCTTTTAAAATTAAAAGATGATGTTGCATACGGCTATAAGTCTTTAGTGTAAAAGCAAATTAATCAGCTTACAGGAACCAAATTAAAAATATAAAATTCCTTGTACATAAATAAAAAACACAATTCCAAAACTCCGTAACACCCTATGTTATTAGTAGGTTTTTTTTACAAAAATACAGATGAAATGTTCATTTCTACTGGAAATTTCAATTTCTCTCCCATAAAGAAACAAATATCACAAATATCACTCACAAAACTCAATAATTTATTATTGCCAGTTAGCACTGCGTGGCACTACGAGTATGGGTGCGAGAGTACGAAAAAATACACAAAGACAACTTAGACAAGTTTTTTCTGTGGACCGAGTGCGGCGTGCACTCCACATAAACAGGAGAGACGTTCTTCCTTCAACAAAACACCACACACTAAAATATTTTCAAATGAAAAATAACTCAAGTAACCAAAACCGTTAGAAAAACTTATAGGTATTTGCTTGATTTACTCCTTATATTATAGATTAAGCCAAATAATGGCTCGATTCTAGAAGGGTTTTATTAATTTGGTCAAATATTTGATAATCGTAGCAAAAATTGGATAGAAATAGTTATATATTTGATTGTTTTCAGTTCACTGTTTTTTTCTGTTTTCTAAATTTCAGTAAATTCTATGAATAAATTAATCCAGACAGGAATACATTAATTTAAAATATCATAGATATTAAGCATTTATTTTATTGATCCCATCAAAACCATATAGATCAAAAGTAAATTAATGCCCATATTAGGTATTCTGTGTTGAAACCTAAAATATTTTAAATCAATGTACCTAGTAATTCATTCCTAATTGATTTGATTTGGAAATGTATAGATCTGTGAAATATGTAAAAAATTTGACTATGATGCTTGTTGAGATAACTTTGATAGAACTTATTTTACCAGACACTAGGAATCTCAATTTCTCAAATTGATCTTGTTGATAACTCAGATATTATCCTTTAGTTAAACTATTATCAAATACAGCTAAAATAATATAATCTAAGAGTTAATTTGAGCAAATTTCTTGCAAAAATTAATCATGGGAGGTACATCAATTCGATTTTTAATGTTTGATTGATTTAAGAAAAGCGTTTTCTGTAATCAATCTAAATTTTGATGTCCCAAGAAAAAATTTGATGAGATTTAGCAGTTTAAGCATAAAAACAAGAAAATTGTATCTATTGATATTAATTTCAATTTGATGTTATTAATCGTAAGCGAAATTAGCAGATTAATCTTAAAACGCTAATATCTGTCAGTTTTTTTCTTGTTTTATTCCATTTTAGATTAAATTAATTTATTTGGCATAGATTATGGTATTTCTTATTTCAATAAGTCGATTTGATTCATTTTATCAAAGCATTTCTTTCCGTGTTTATAGTGTAAAAGAATAATTATTATTAGATTCTAATGTCCATCAATTCAAGAAGCGACGTACCGAGTGACATTGAGGAGTCGGCTGAATCTGCTTTATCTACAATAAATTATTCCTAAGAAGTTAAAAAGCAAATATGATTTGGCCCTATGTCAAATCTAGTTCATGGTCAAATTAAATTGCCATATGTACCTACAAAGAATATAATAACAATACTTCAAGTAGTTTAACGTTAAAATTATCACAAATTTTATTTCTGAATTTTTCGCAACTGATAGTGAAATTTACTTTTCATCACCAGTTGCGAAAAATTTTATTTTTCGTAACTGGTGATGAAAAGTAAGACATTTGATAACGTCAACGAGTTTTGAAAAATGTCACTTTAAATGTCAAACTTAGAAAAAGTAAATTTCACCATTAGTTGCACAAAATACAAGAAGAAAATGTGTGATACTTTTGGGGCTGAACTACTCGGAGTACTTTGTTGCTATTAATTCTTTGTACGGACATAGGAAGGTTTAATTTTATTCAAATTAATTACAATTTGAACAATTATTGATGATATTGACAACAAAGTCTTCTGTGTAGCATTAATTAAATGAATAAATTGAATGTTTTTTTCATGGAAGTCTCTCCAAGGATGTTGGTGAGAATTTTCTGTTTTTTATTGTTATGAAATTTTCCACATAGCCCTTAGAGGCTGTATTAGACGTCCACCCCCCACGCTATATTAGACTTCCACCCCCCACGCTATTTAATTCTCAGCAAATCATCCACAGAATCTACGAGAAGAGTAGGTAGGTAGTGGATGATCGTCGAAAGCAATGACCGGTTTGCGTCGCCAAACTCGATAATAAACAATACTGGCTTCCATGGTAACGGAATAGGAAACGTCTCTGAACTTACTTGACAATTTAGAAATAATTATAGAAGGGACATTTTTCATGTTTTTGACTCGATTTTGAATGGATCAGATCATAATATACAAAATTAGAAAAAATATTGTGTGAAACACGTTGGGAAACACTATTTTTCGTAACTCGCTTTCTTTTGCGGAACTCGCTTCGCTCGTTCCGCAGAAATCTGCTCGTTACGAAAAATAGTGCTTTTCCCAACTGGTTGCACAAATAACTATTTTAAGTAAAATTATGTCATCGTCGAAAAGCGAAACGTCAAAATCGTCCAAAATGTCAGAAATTTAAAATAAGGGAAGTTTACTGCCTCGCACTAACCATACACCAATAAAGACAAGCCGTAACCTTATTAAGGGAATTCTTATTTTCGGACCCAAATGCGCATGCGTAGATGTCAAAATAAGGGTAATTTAAATACTGCTTGTCCTTATTGCACGTCCAATAACTCTCTAATGTCAAAATTCATTTTTTTTTAATAACTTTTTTTTGGGGGTGGGCAAAAATAATTATTTATGCAACAAGTGTGTAAAGTGAACCTTTTTTCACGAATGTGAATTTTGACGCACGAGCCGAAGGCAAGTGCGACAATCACATGAGTGAAGAAAGGTGCTTTACGCACGTATTGCATACAAAATTTTTTCTACTACCAATCAAATATGTATAAAAAAAAAAATTTAGACAAATTCTTCACGCACTAGTGCGTAAAGTATTTTCACTTTACGCAATAGTGCGTGAAGTAATTTACCAGAAAAATAGTAATTTGACAGGTCGACATCTGTCATTGATGACATTACTTTACGCACTAATGTGTGAAGTGAACTACTTCACGCACTAGTGCGTGAAGAGAAATTTTACGTCTTCTGAATACTGCGTAAAGTGAGTACTTTACGCACGGTAGTAGAAAAAAGTTATTGGGTGGGCTCACATGGGCAATTAATGGGCAATTAATGGGCGAACAAACTGTGATTTCAAATTTAGGGGTGCCTAAAAAAAAGTTGGAAACATTTTATTTTTCTCTCAAATTTGTTTTGGGGGGTGGGCAAAAAAAGTTATAGGGCCTACATGTGAACAAACGAATTGATTTTTCGAAATTTCGTTGGTGGGAGTGTTCCCGTCAAAGAGCTGAATCCCCGGCCTTCACATTCCAATCCGTCAATCTACCGCGGGGCCCGATTCTCGTCTCAGGGAGTAGAGTTCCGCGAGAGAACAAATTTTTCGTCTTTATCAGTTTCGTTTACTTTTCGATTACGTCGACAAGGACAAAACATTCGTTCTATCGGGGAGCTCTACTCCCTGAGACGAGAATCGGGCCCCACAGTGGGCTGTGAAGGTGAAGGCTGCATAATCTGTGGCTGCAGTGCAGGTGCGGTGTGATAATCAGACACCCTGTACTTATAGCCTTCAGCGTGATTCAATAGGTACGGCCTTAAGATCTGAATGACTATTTATTGTTTCAAATTAAAATGTACAATAATATAGCAATCAATAATAAAGCAAAAATATTTGTATAGGGTTTCAAGCAAATTCCCTCGCTGTCAGTTGTTGGTGTTGGTACTGTTGAATTATCATTTGATAGTGGTTTTTCATCTTCTCGTGGTTTCATAGCTCTGGCGATGCTATCAATATAATATTCAATGGGAGCAAACTGAAGTGGCTCTCCAGGTAGGCCGTTTCCAGTTTCGTTGCAGTAACGACCAGGAATCAAGATGCCAACTTGGAAATCGCCGCACATGACTGGACCGCCTTGTTGATTTGCATCACAAAATAAATTTTCCTCATTCAAGCTGCAGAATTGTCTGTCATTTAACTGAATGTTGAATTGATCTGCACATTTCTTCGCTCCAATTATATCCACTGTAGCGCTTTGTTTCCATCCTAAAACGGTGGCTTTTTTACAAGGTGTGTCTGCTATTTTGAACCGCCCAGTGCGAAACCGAAACAATTTAGGCAGATCTACAAACAAATAATGCCAAAAAGAAAATCTTGATTTAATGTCTGAAGGTACCAATAGTTTGACAAATGTTAAAGCTGAGCGAGAGACATGATGATGTGGTACTTTTATGGTTAAGATTGCAATATCGCCATTATTCAACAGATTTGAGTTTATTTTTCCGCCGCTACGCACGCTTGCAACTACTGCAGCACCAACCGAGCTGGCTATTACTGCTGCTATGATCGAAATAAGAAATCGCTTTCTTCGTCGTTGTGGAACCTCCAGATTGGCTTCATATCTCGACGGACTCAAAACCAATGGCTTCGCTGAAGTTAAAACTCGGGTAGGAGATAACAGAGTACCCACGGCTACTCTTTCCTTTGTGTCTTTTCTTACTACTTCTACCAAAAAGTTGACATTTTCGGGCGGCCGTTTTTCTGAAACACCAGGATTATCTCCAGAGCAATATGCAGCAACTGCAATGAGCAATAATATATATTTCCACATACCGATGCGCATTTTAAACTTTCTTTGAACGAACGATGTGACAATTTTTGTATAAAACCCACGTTTTGCGACTTTTTTATGACATGTGATTAGCAGGTCTGGTAAGTCGTCTTGGCAGCGGCGTAGCGAGGGGAGGGCCGAGGGGGCCATGGCCCCGGGCGGCATACGAGAAGCGGCGGCAAATTTTAAACAAAAAATTCTTACTCTAAATTGCCATCGTCTAAATAGGGAACTTGCAAGTGGAATAAAATTTTCCAAATCTGTTTTTAATCGATAGTTAATACTGTACAATATTTATATGACAAGGTTTCATTTTACTGATACGGCCCTTGTTACACAAAAAATAATACTGAATTTAAAATAAAAAGTTTCCCGCCAAAATGATACTTCTATAGCCGTGCTCGTTTTTGTCATCTTTTTCGTCGATTTGCTCCGAAATTTTGACAGGCACGTGATTTGTAAATTGAAACTGTCTGATCCGGTCGCATTTTTGTATCGAGCGTCCAGCAACCCGCATTCGGGGTACCCGACCTCGGCACGTATCAAGCGCACGGTAGTACGAAAATCACTCGGACTACCGTATGCTCGATACTCGCGACTCGCGCCTACAGTCTCGAATACCTTTTTGAGTTTTCCTGGCTCCTCACAATCAAGCTACTTGATAATATGTATTAGTTTAATTTTGGTTCTGGTAGTCAAATCGTAAAGCAATTTTAATTCTAGTAGTTCACTAAGTGGGATGGAAAGTAGCAAAAAACTTAAAGATTAATAAGATTATGATATTTGCCTAGTTATTTGATGCTGTCTCTAACAAACTATCCCAAACTAACCCTAAGGCTGTCCTTACCTTAACCTTTTGCTCAGCTCCAATTTGGGTTAGTTTTGGTTAGTTTTGTTACTTAGAGACAGCATCATAAATAATTATTTACATCTACCTGAATCTAATCTCCGCATTTGTCAAATAACGATTGCAGGTATACAAATCCCTAAGTAAATAGCAAAAATCTTGTTAATTTTTACCTGCTTTAAAAATTCGATTTTTAAATCGTTCTAACATATTTCAAAAAATAGGCGTTTTTTTTTGGAGAAAAAAGTATACAGATGATAATGTCATTGGAAGAATGGCTAACACAATAATTCAAAAATGTTTTCGAAAAAACGTGAAAGTGGCCTATTCTATCTCGTCATGGTATTCTATTCATGGTAAGGTTATGCAGATAAAACATAATTTTGCTCTTACTTATTCCCTTACCTCGACTTCCTGCTTAGTCTTGAAATTAGTTCGTATTTCGCTGGAATCGACAATGTGGTACATATAATTTTCTGGCCAGTGCATAATAAATGATAAACAATTAAAAAAAAAAACTGAATTGTTGGACGCCGATCCATAATTTCGCAGAAGACTAGTATCAAGCGTACGGTAGCTTGACAATCGATCGGGAAATCAGACGCTCGTTATGAGACAGGCCTCGGTTAATACGACGTTACCCGAATGCGGTATACTGGGCGCTCGATACAAAAATGCGATCCGGTCACATGCTTGTCAAAATTTCGGAGCAAATCGACGAAAAAGATGTCAAAAACGAACACGGCCTATGATGGCTACCTTTCTTGACGTCATACGATTCTGTAAACAAACCTGTCAATGAGGAACTTCCAAGTGGAATAAAATTTTCAAAAGCAGTCCTTGCGACAATTTTCACAAAAAGCAAACTTTAACACACTTAAATAACACAAAAAAGCACTGCGTCAGCAGAAGTTCGTTTGCTGCGTTTGTTGTTTACGAAATGTTGACGGCACGAGCGCTTTCATATTGAAAAAGCGCGATTTCGCGCCAAAGTTCATGATTTGAATTTTAATAAAAAAAATTTCGTACAACGTAGAAATGAAATTAAAATGGAGAAAAAGAAAACTATGTAATATCTGATCACTAGAAGTAGGTATCTAACAAAAAATAAATTGAGAAATATGAAAATTCCCTATTGGAGTTGCTTTATTTGACTTTTCTCGACTAACTATATAAAATGGAGGGGGCGGCGAATTTCCAGTCGGCCCCAGGCGCCGAAAGCTCACGCTACGCCACTGCGTCTTGGTAACTTTGTTCACAATAATTATTCTCTATTATTATTCTCAATATATTCAACGATCAGAGATAATAGCTATTTATATAACAAGTACATAAAGTAAGGCTTTATTGTACGAATAATTTGATGGCCGAGCGAGCTTGCGAGGGAGGCTATTGGTCAAATTTAAAAACATTTTTTTTCTTTGTTGCTACCTATTAAAAGACTTTAAATACTCTTGGCAACACCGCCAATTAAAATCCCACAGATGACAGACACACCTGGAGAGGGCAGCCAGCGCAAGCGAAAATGACCCTAATAAAAAGAAGAAATAAGAATGACGTTGTAATTGTTTCGATTTGGTTTTTATTCTGATTTCCATTTTGCTTTTTGAACGTTGTTGGGTACTTGCAATATACTGATGATTAAGAAACAATGTTCCCAAGTCGTTTTTCTATTTTTGAGTCTATTTCCCTCAATTAAAAGGGCAATTAAGTTAAATACAATTTGAACCAGCAAAGCAAATAAAAACATTTGGTCCTTCGACACGGATTCTTGGAGTTTCCCAATTAATCCAGTGAAAAAGCGAAAAATTAGTGACGCCATTTCTGTGAACCGCATTTTGGCCATTTGGGACTGCATTTGTGCATTAAAAAAGTCCACCTTGGTGTGGTACACCGTCACGTCCGAAAAAAAAAAAAAAGGATTTTAATCTGTAATTTGATGATGCCGACGATTTAAGAAGTATCAAAAGAGCAGGTATCCTTTAATTTTATCCATTTTCCTATTTTCATTGCCATTAAAAGTGAGGTTTGTAGAATATCTATGTTAATTAGCCAATTTAAAACAATTATTTTACGTTCGATTTCGATTATTGAGTTATTATTCTTTTCATACCTATTAACGATTATTTCTTTGAGGTATTAGCCTATAATTTATTTAAGATTTTGCTAAATATTGAGCTGAGCTTGTCATTACTAGTTTTTTGTGAAATTACTTCAATTTACCAAGATATTTAAACCTACCTACCTATTTGAAGGTTAGAAAATAATGGATCGAGATCAGATACCCAGTGGTTCTGGAACAGCTTCCGAACAAGGAGCTGCGAAGGAATCAGCTTCACTCGATTTAAAACGATTAATCAGAAACAGAGGTACAATTAAGCATAAATTAACCATTCTAGAAAAATATATTACTTCAATTAAAGCTTCTTTGCCTCAAAATAAGCCCAATATCAATGACGTCGAGCTCCGATCTAAAAATGGTTCAATTTTATTGCAAGAATTTGATCAGGTGCAGTCAATGATAGAGTCATTATGCGAGGAAACGGACTTAGATGTTCATTATGAAGAACGTGAAGAATTTCAAGAAAGATTTTATGTAACCCAAGATTTTTTAACACAATATTTAAATAATGAAAAGCCTTCAATTGAGGAGAATCGTTTGAATCCTGCAGAGTTGAATAACCCAACCTCGATTCAAGAAAATTCCAATTCGTTACAAAATGTTTTATTACCGAAAATTAAATTACCAATTTTTACAGGCAAATTTGAAGATTGGCTTAGCTTTAAGAGTAACTATACATCTATTATTTCAAATAATGCAAGCTTAACTGAATTACAAAAATTCCAATACCTAAAAGCTTCTTTAGAAGGTTATGCAGCTAGATTTGTCGAGGGTTTGGACGGAATAGATAAACCGTACACTAGGAGATATTATGTGACAAGTTTGATAAAAAACAGTTCTTGTTAGATTCTCACTTTCAAGGTTTGTTAAATACTCCTAAAATTCAAAAAGAAAATTTTGAGCAATTGAGTCAGATGTTGGATCAATTAACTCAACATTTGACTGCCATTAATGTCATGAATTTAAATTCAGAAATTCTATTTGATTCCTTTATTATTCATTTAGTGTCGAGTAAGATGGATAAAAGCAGTTTGCGCGATTGGAAAGAGCTCGATTATGATTCAGATTTGCCTACCCTGGATGAATTCTTAGATTTCATAAAGAATAAAGTCGATTTGTTACAATCATTGGAGCAGTCATTTAAGGCTAATAGTGTGGTACCTGAGCAAAAGCCAAATAATTTTCAATCATTTAATAGAAAATATCCTCTTAAAAAATATGATCAATCACAAATTCATTTTGCCCAAAATAAGGAATGGACAGCGTCTTCGCTTAAATGCAATTTTTGTAAAGAAAACCACACTATTTATAAATGCTCAGATTTTTTGAAACTAAATGTAAAGGATAGATCAGAGAACGTAAAACGATTAAATTTATGTCGTAATTGTTTGCGGACGGGTCATTCTTCTAATCAATGCAATCTTTCGCCTTGCAAAATATGCAAATCAGAAAATAAGTCCTTTAAACACAATTCACTATTACATTTTAATACCCAAGAAAATTCTGATCTAAATCAAACTCGAACACAGATCGAAACCAATTTAAACATGTTAGTTAAACCCATTAAACCAGAAACCAATTTCAATTCTCAGGTTATGTTATCCACAATTATATGCAATGTTAAAGATTCAACAGGGAAGTTTCAAAGGTGTAGGGCTCTACTAGATAGTGGTGCTCAATCTAATTTAATTAGCGAACCATTTTGTAACAAGTTAAATATACAATGTACCCCTGCTAATCTGTCCATTGTTGGTGTCACACAAGTAACCTCCCAACTTAATAAAAAATGCACAATTTCTCTATTTTCCAACTGTTCTGATTTTACATGCACAATCTCATGCTTTGTCACTCCTATTATAACCAGTAATATTCCTTTACATTCCGTTGATGTTACCAATTGGATTATACCGAGTCAAGTACAATTAGCTGACCCAGAATTTAATACCTCCAAAGGCATTGATTTGCTAATAGGTGCTAGCCTATTTTGGGATCTGATCCTGGAAGGAAAGATAAAATTAGGTACCCATCTTCCAACGCTACAAAATAGCAAATTTGGTTACATTGTTACCGGCAATTGCCCTATTTTATCCAACACTTCTATTTGCAATTTCATCAAGGTACACATTCCAGAGGATGATCAATTGAAGAAATTCTGGGAGCTTGAGGAAGTACAAGGTTCTACTCCCTCTAAAACTGAAGATACTGAATGTGAAACACTATTTGAACAAGATACCTTTAGGAATGAGCAAGGACAATTCGTGGTCAAATTTCCACTCAAACATCCATCTTCTTTGTTAGGTGATTCCAAAGAGACAGCCATTAAAAGATTTTATTCCCTAGAAAAGAAATTTGCAAATCCCGATTTCAAGAAACTTTACTTCGATTTCATTCAAGAATATGAGTCTTTAGGTCATATGACCAAACTTACTAATGAGAACAAAATTTCCAAACCTATTTCAAATGCCTATTTTTTACCTCATCATGGGGTTTTGAGGCAGGACAGCATAACTACCAAATTAAGGACTGTTTTCGATGGTAGCTGTCCTACCACCACAGGCTGGTCTTTGA